TGGGGGTGAGTTCAGTTCCAAGCTTGAAGGTGTCTAAGGGCCGTAGTCTTAGGAGTTCCACCAATGTCTATCAGACCAGTCAGCCTGGCCTTTGCCGTGATTTTGAGTTTGTTCCACATTTTTCACCCACTCTACCAGGACCTCCTATGATGACCCCTTTCAGAGTGGTCACAGTGGTAGCCAGGTACCATCCAGTTCTTCTGGTCTTAAGAATCATGGCACCTGGGGTTCACATGATCCATGAGTCCTTTGGACCAGCTGTTCCGTCTTCTTCACTCTTCGTTGCTCTGGATGGGGAGAGACCAATAGTTGCCCCTTAGATGGCTGCTCACAAGCTTTTAGGACCCCAGTCACTACTCACCAAAGTAGGGTGTGGAACATCGTTCTTGGGAACTATATTGTGCCAAATGACCTGGATGCCCCCTGTGACTGTGGTCCTGAGGCCCAGTGACTCCTTCCTCAAGGCGTTTGGTCATGTCTCAGTTTTCATAACCTTGCCCCTGTGTGGTGTACTATGTTCATGGATAGATATGCAGCGTTTTCACAAGATCTGAAGACCTCAGTCCCTACTCCAGAGCAGGATGGAGAGGACTGGCTTTGAGGCTCATTTCCTCTTCTTGACCTGCCATCATTAGTTTTGCTTTGTGTTGAAAACAGAACCAAAACTCAGCAACCCTCTCAGGGCCTGCCCAAGCCTCTGCAGCCCAGTGTCCACCTGCCCAGACAGCAAGAAGAGCGGTACACGGGGCCGGATGGGAACTGTCCACAGGCTTGTTTGTGTAAACAGCCACACCTGCTCAAGGAGATCTGGTTAGAGTGGGAGAACAATGCGAAACAAAACTCAAAATCACACAAAAGGCCAGGCTGACTGGCCTGATAGAATCTGATGAGACCCCCAAGACTATGGGCCCTAGTTACCCTGCAGGTCTGGAACTGAACTCACTCCCATGGCTTCTAGCCAAACAATAGACAGGCATATGGGGTGAACGTTTACATCAGGAAGGTACACTCCTCCGAGTGATCAATCATGGGGGAACAGAAGGGCAGCGTTTGTGCAGGGAGACAGCTGGGGGGGCAGTGCACGGGATGGAAGGACACAGGGAGGAGGTAACTACGGGGAGGAAGTGGGAAGAGAGCTTGCGGTGGTTATGTTGTGTGTCAACTTGGCTGGCCTGGTTGAGTGGCTGGGCAGCTGGTGGTAGTTAATCCCCACGATGAGACTGCAACCACCTCCATGGTGGGATCTACCACAAGCAGCTGAGTAGCTGCCTTTGGGATGTGGTCTGCTTCCTGGATATAAGGAGAAGCCTTGGGAATGGTCTCTAGCTTATGGCACGCTTGGACCCTGCCTGTGGCCGTGCCGTTGTTCA